TTGAATTGAACAACAATTTTTGAGCATGTAGAAAGAATTCTAAAATAAGGAATTAAAAATTCAATTAACTTGTTCTCACAATCCTTCACTTTAATACATTCTATTCTTCATCACCCTTTCACAATTTTCAACCCTGGTGATTCTACTGGACCAACTAAAATAATTAATGCTAATGTCCCTATTTTTAATAAACAGATTAGCACTATTGATCTCATAAGAAATCTTATATTTCCTTTTCATAAATTGTAATGTATTACAGTATCTGAAACTTATTTTGGCATCTTTGGGGTTGGGGACATTACCGTACTTACAAAAACCCTGCTAACTGTATTACCTAAAAATTGTCCTGTCTCTCTTGAAGTTTAGTTTTCTTCAGAGATACTTTTTGATACTTTTTTCATCTGAGTACAAGATTACTAATGTCTACTTCTCAGTTATCAAGAGAAAAAGCACAACTTTAATCGCTTTACGACAACAATGAGGCATCAATGTGATCACACATTTATTCCTTTCCTGAGACTTCACTTACTCCAGGGATACTCTAAAGTGTCTAGTAAAATTCTATCTCCAATAATAATGATAATTCCTCTAAAGTTTTGTCAGAATATTTCCAAAACAAGAACATCTTGTAAAATTTCACAGAATAATTTTCAGCTATTCTCTCAAATCACTTAGCTTGGATTCAGGCATCATTATTTTATCAATTTAATTTAATCCAGGGCTTAGAACAATTTATAATTATGGCATAGAATAATAAAAAATATGCACTCAGAGAAAAAAGTATGTCCAACTATGCATTCAAGATTACTTATCACTATACTTTTATATAAATATGTGAGACAATGTAGAAATGTTGACAATTAATGTTCTTTGATAATAATCAGGGATTAATGGCTGAGGTAGAAAATTGCTCTAAATCGATTAGACATGTACAATTTTACAAAGGATACATTTTATAGTTGACTAAATGGTTCTTTCTTTTCCTCCAGAATCTTAATCTAGTAAGAGCATACATTAATCTTGGCTGAAAAAACAGAACAAGAAGTTTCTACCCATATGCAGTGGCATTCCTGGCACTGTTCGGTTGAGAATCAATTGAGAACAAAGAGGAATACTGCAATAATATTAAATATATGGTTGAATGTTCCCCACATATTAATATACTCCAGTACTAGTAAAAGAATATTTGGACATGAACTAACAATATATGAAAAAGGATTTAATTAGATATCATAGATAATTTTAGTATTTTACTCTCTATCAACAGATAATCAGCCATGCCCTCTAATTCATGCCCTTCTCTTTGTAAATTACATATTGAAAAAGATTTGATCTTCTGAATCATCAAATAGTGTATTTCTCCATGAGATTCTTGAGGGCACTGCCACTGAGCCTGCACAGAAAAGGATCACAGTCCCCATGAAATAGGATGTACAAATAATTAATTTTAATAATAAATAAATTGTGTCATATTTTTGAAATTTATCTCAACTTCCAGAATAAAACAGATAGTTACCTTCAAAACACAAATTTTAAACTGTGTGTCGTTTACATTTATTTGATAATTATGACAACTCCATTATGGGTGAATTATAGGATTTGTAACATAGATTGATAAATTGGGAATAATGAAATAGAATAAAAATCTATAGACATTACTTATATTTTGGTTAAAGTGCAACAAAGAATTGGGTTCTACTGTTACATTAAAAAAAACTGAATGCACATCTTAGTTCTCATTATGGGAAGTGACAGCCAGAGCCTGCTGGGGCTTAGAGTGAAGCTCATGAGCACTCTGAGTAAAAAGAAAATGCAGATTACATTCACTCTTGGACTCTCACCTTAGACTGTTCTCAATCTTGTAAGTCCCAAAGCAGATGCATAGTTATGAATAATGGTGGGGAAAATAACATCATTAAATGCACCCAAAAAACTCATCATAAAGTATGAGGGCATAGTTCAGACATCTGAAATAAAGATAAAATGTATAGGCCGGGTGTGGTGGCTCACGCCTGTAATCCTAGCACTCTGGGAGGCCCAGGCGGGAAGATTGCTTGAGCTCAGGAGTTCCAGACCAGCCTGAAAAAGAATGAGACCCCTGACTCTACTAAAAATAGAAAGATATTAGCCAAACAACTAAAATTAGAAAAAATTAGCCGGGCATGGTGGTGCATGCCTGACATGACAGCTACCCGGGAGGCTGAGGCTACCCCGGATGGCGATAGGAGCATCACTTGAGCCCAGAGTTTGAGTTGCTCGTTGGAATCTAGGCGACACCACAGGCACTCCAGCCTGGGGCAACAAAGGCAGACTCTGTCTCCAAAAAAAACAAAAAAAAAAAAAAGAAAAGTGGTATACATAAGGGGAGGGAAAATTTGTAAGAACAACAGCGTATTTGCCTAGAATGAATTATAAATTTTAAAGACAAATAGCTTTGTAAAACTATTTTCTGTATTCTATGATCACAATGTTCAAATTTGTGATACTAGTGTTATTTATTACTTCTGATGAATTATCAATAATTTTATGTATAAACATTATGGATGGCATTTATGATGATGCCACCTTGCAAAAGTGAATGTACGTGCCTACTTAGATTTTACAAACATAATCGTAGTACCTAACAAAAATCAGGATGGTTTATTTGATATAATAAAAGTTTCATTCTTGAGTATAAATTCCCGCATACATTGAACAGCGCTGTATAAAACCCATGACTGATCATGACAGCATAAAAGGATTAATGATATTTTTATAGTCCAAGTCAAGGTTTAGATTGAATGAACTAGCAATTAATTGGCAACTAAAAGTAATGCAGGAACTCAGAAAACAGAAATATAGCCCACAAAGATTAATTCCAGTTATTTCTCTGAGATACACATATATGTCAGTATAGTATATTATTAACTTACTTGGTTAAGCATATGATGTCTTATTTATGATTTTGCTTTATAGCTGTGATCTATTTAATCATATTTCTAGAAATTTGTATTTCTTATATTTTTTCATGTTTACCCTTTGGTAAGTGCAACTCTTAGTCTGCAAGGATATATAAGTATCTCATATATTTTAATATCAGCCTGTCCCATGGAAACATTAGCACGGAAAGATGTCACTGCAGAAGCTAGGAGACAGAAGAAGACACTGACTGATAAAAATCTGAGCTTCAATTTTGGAAAACCTAG